GTTTGTACCTGTTTTTGATCTAGTTTCTTAAAACGAAGATCTGTATCTATTTCTTGCACAAATTCTTAGAATAAAATGTTAATATTATTGATGCAAAGTTAAAATTAAATTAAAATTGTGGATGTAGATGTCATAGAGGCTCCATGTTTCAGTTTGCTTTTTATAAATATTCTAAAGTTGACAGTTGTTAATGTGACTGGCAGATTATTAGAAAGTTGTATGAAGGTCAACACATTGGATCTGTCATCTGACAATTGCTTTTTTCTTTAGTGATTTAGTAATTTAATTTATTATACTTTATGTAATAAGTAAAATAATATAAATGTGTTATATAAAAAAAAAAATCATTAAAATTTTTCTGCAACCAATATGATTTCGACAATGATTTATTAATAGTTTAATTTTGGCCATTTTTGTCAAAACAGCCATTTAAAAAAGAAAAATAAATAAACATCTTCAGAAATAAAATCTTTCTGTAGGATCACTGTCATAAATTAACTTTATAATAACTTATTTAATGACTGTTTTCCAGAAAGTAATTAAATCCTAAATGAAAAATATTTACTTGACTTTCCTTTGTTTTCAATATTATTGTAAATTTCTTACTATGATTGTTCAATTCTCAAATTTTTTCTTAAATGAATGTGCAAGATTTTAAAATATTGCAAAGAAAAATATTTTCTTTTAAAATTTTTATTTTCTATGAAAGTTAGATACAGGGTGGTTATAATTAAAGTTGCACTACTCAAACCTGTCTAGAGCCCGTTCTCATGGACGTATTTTGATGAAACTTGGTATACAGGTAGCCCTCGGTTTATGCTGATTCACAATAATGCTGCTGTGCAATTTGTCATTTCACGGTGTAATTTCCCTATTTTTCCAGTGCCAGACTGATTTTCGTTTCAGTGTTGACATATTTACTGAGCCATGACATTGTACATTCGTTAAGTTTTTTATTGAATATATTTATTTTTTCTGTTTAATATTATTGGGTATGTATACATTTGCATTAAATTAATATTAAAATACTAAACATTTAAGTTCCCATGAGTCAAGTTATTAAACTTAATAGTCCAATAAATGTCATCCGAATTCAGAGCTCTAATGAATGCAAATAGTTCATATCCTGTATCAGTTCGTTCAGGAAAACACCTTATGATGCAGTAGCACTTCTGGCAATCACAAATTATCATTAGCGAGACGAAATCTACTTCTTGTCAGTCAGACGATATCTAACTCTCCTTAGCCAGACGAAACCAACTTCAATTTTTCTGCCCAAACTGACTTTATATATGTGTGCCAGCAGTCAACCAATCAGAGTCTCTGCTTATCTGTAGCTCTATTTCGGGTTAGCATATCCTTTCAACTGTGGAAAGTTTGACGGATGAACTTTGTGAGTTAGACAATGATTGGGAGCAAAGTGCAAATGTAAAAAAGAGCATAATCACATCCATTCGATCATATTCTGAAATTATTAATGAAAGAAAACAAAAATCTAAACAATTACAAATGGATACTTTTTTCTGAAAAATGTAAACGATCCAAAACTTTTAAATATCATTTGTTTTTCATAAGAATTTTTAATAACATTTCATTTTATTTTATCATAAAATACATTTTTAAAAATTAAATATATATGTATTCTGTATTATATTGTATTAATAAAAAAAATTATTTGCTTATTTTTCACTTACGTAGAACCTAACCCTTATTTTTCACTTACAGAGAACCTCATTGTAAATATAGGTTCATTTTATGCCAATTCAGTTTGTGCCGGCTTTTGTAGGAACAGAACCGCGGCGTAAATCAAGCGCTACCTGTATATGTTATATGGACTGTGGGGAAAAGGAAAATGCGCATTGTAAGGTGTTTTGAACACGTGACTGATGCAAATGGATTGCATCAGTTTATTCACAACATTGAACAAATGTTGTGAATAAAAACCTTTTGTATGTTTCCATTTTGTGTTTCTTGTTCTTCATGCGCCATTTTTTCACCTAGTGATAAAAATTTGAACTAAATATTTTTTTGCAATTTCCTTTTCCCCACAGTCCACATATACCAAGTTTCATCAAAATATGTTCACAAGAACAGGTTTGAGTAGTGCAACTTTACAGTAATTATTACCACCCTGTATATTGTGCTTCTATAATTGGTGTGCAATTTGAAAAAATTGTAGACCTATAAATTCCCACTGTTGACTGTTTGTCTGTCTGTCTTTTCTTAATCTTGAGAACAGTGTTAGATAGATGAAGGTCAAGACCAGATATGAAAAGCTTAGGGGCAGAAGGCCCCAATTAACTATGTATAAACTTCTAATGCAATCTAGAAGTCATGTTATTTCAATTAAAAAATTATCCTGTGAAAGACATTAGATAGATGACTAGCACAATTCTATTGCTTACTGGAAAAGTATGATGTACTGTACAGGGGCAAGACACTATTAATTTGAGATGGAGAGCATATATTTTAAATTAAATTAAAAATATGATTAAAAATTGTAGCTTGGCATTGTCACGATGTCACAATAAGTAAATTGATATAACTTAATATTTATACATAGGTTTTAATATTAAATTCAGAGCCATTGAGAGGGAGAGCTGGGGATTTTCCCCGGCTCTTCCTTGACTACAAGTCCAGAGAAACTTAGTTGTTCCTACTCCTATAAATTAATGCCATTTAACTAATAAAAAATAATATATTTAAGACTGATATTTATTAAAGCTATTCATTTCATATTAATCATCCATCCATCAACCAAGTTCATTGGGTGATTACACAACAATTAAGAATTAGAAATTAGATATAGATGTTAGACACCATCTCTTAACAAAAACAGGGATTATAATTTTAATATTTAGAATAGTCTGGAAGAAAAGAATTGGCCCAAAGCAGAAATTGGACCTGCAACTTCCACTTACCATGCAGTGTGCTGACCATTACATCACCCAGATCTTCTAGCAACTCTTCCCTTCCAAACACATTTAAACTTCAGATATAGCCATCCAATGGTTAACAGTTGGATGGTTAATAATCAGGTTATTGAGATGTTATATATATATATATATATATATACATATATATATAGNGCATGCATGCTATTCATTTGTTCAAAAGAACAAGCAAAAGGGTCCCATTTTACACCTAGGCCCCATACCAAACTTTTGATGGTCCTGATTAAATCCAAACCTGATTAAAGAATAGTATATAGGTTTAAATAAATTTTTTTATTGCTCTCTCCCCAATTAAATATCCAAAAATTTTATTCTGGATCAAATTTATGATGTTTTCACATATTTAAAGTTTGCTCTTATGTTTTGTATGTGTTTTTTGCAATTTATATTCTATATTACAAGGTTTAAATCTAATAATTTACTCTGTCTTGGTTGTCTTGTGTCCTGACTATTTACAGTTTTAATTATAAAAATAAAACTATTATTTTCATTGTGTTATTTATAGATGAAGTTGATGCCTGATTATCTAGGAAGAGAAATGCATGAAGCTTTTTAATATATAACTCTTCTCTGTTTACCTCTATCCAATGTTGCATTCATCCCAAATCCCATCCAGTCTCTCTCTCTCTCTCTCCTTCTTTTGGTCAAATGTTTCTGTAATATCTTGGTGTACAGATTTACTTAAGTGTACTTAACTGTATTGTAACTTTAATAGAATAAGTTTAATTATATATGTGTATTTATAATTAGTTGAAATAAAAAGATAGTTATCTATATATATAAAAATGAATGTATGTCTGTCTGTCTGTCTGTGTGTGTGTATGTCCTTCATGCATTACCACACCGTTTATCCGATTGCCGTGAAACTTTGGGAAGTTGTGTAATATACTCCAGCAAAGGTTTGTGGCATAGTACGATTGCCATGAAGCTTTGGAAAGTTTTTTAATTTTTTAATACACTCCCGCGAAGTACATTTATCCTACGATAGATGGCGCGCGTTTACACGAGCATTCGCGCACAGTGTGTTCGATCAATTTCAAATTGTGAAAACCATTTCCCCCTTCAAAAAATATCTCTATATATGCATTTGTGAACTGTTATTTATGATATTTATAATAATTTTTGTTTAATCACTTTATTTCAACTTTTTTTGCTAATTATGTATTCACTCGAGCTTCGTTAAAATCTTAACTGTACCTCGAACAACGACCGAAGTTGTAGGAAGAAATTCGCCTATTTTACCAATCTAGGTATCCCCTTTTTCAAATTTTAATATTGACTCAAAATAATTTAAAAAGACAAATTACAATAAAATGGTTTATTATCCAACTATCAGAAATTTCACAACATGCCAAGGAAGAGAGGAAGGAGCAATTAAATAATTAAAATTATAAAGGTTATAAAAATATATATATATAAATGGGGAATATCGCGCTTCTGACAATCGCTGCGAGTGTGTGGGCTAAATTTGGAGAATCCGTGCTTCTCACGTGGACAACTGTATGTGGCCGGCTCATGCGTCGGAAAACCTTCCGATTTATTCATGTACGCATCAGATGAAAAAACAAAAAATATCGTGTATCCACGAGCACTCCAATAAATAAATAGAATTGAAACAACACTTTGAAATGCTTTCCCGATGAAAACGAATAATAATAATAAGTTTCAATAAAAATGATAAAATGAAAATTTAATTTTATCATAACGAGTTTGCTTGAATTTCGTTTCTTCTGAGATCGCAGCAATGTGCGACGGGTAAGCTAGTTTTATTATAAAAATGATTTACATATGTAAACATCTCAAAACCTGATGCTATTAATCAATGCATTATGGCAATCGTTTGGCTTTAAAAATGAGTTTTTAATGATTTAGCTTGTCTTCTAAAGCCTTTTATATCAATTATATTAAGTTGTATTAAAGTTTATTGAATCTTATTTATATAATGATGGTGATGAATTAAATACTATAAATTATAAAGTTTAATTCAAAATAATATAATTTATTATTATATATAGGTATATATAATTTTAATTTATTTTGATTTAGGTGCCTTGAAAGATTTTGATAAACCTATAGAAGATAAAAAGCCAAATATTGAAAATGAAAATAAAAACGTTAGTATCATTAAAATTTTGTTAATATATAATAATGTGGATAAGATTTGTTTTATTTGTAGTTCTCTCTCCCACAGATGTTGTATCTCTCACTCTAGAAACATTAGACCTTACACACAACAATTTTATCATATTACAGAAAGTTATAAGATTACAAGTTTCTCTCTTAATTAATTAAGGAAGCTATGAAAATTATTTTAAAAGAATTTTGTAATGCATCATTTTTACATTAAAGAAATTATTGATCAGTGTGTGTAGTAATTCAGTGTAACATATGGCAATTGGGTTTAGCCTAATAATATCCAATGTCTTATTAAGGTTTTTAGCTGCCCCATATGGGTCAGTTTTTGCTGCCTTTATAGCCTATATAATTTTAGGAAATGCTGATGGATATTTAAAAAAAAATTGTATTTAGAAAAATTTTTTGGCCTAGTAGAATGACACAGCTGTGATATTTGTAATTTGAAACAATAAAATGAATTATTTTTAATACAACGTTTACAGAACATTTCAGTGATTTTAACCCACCCACCACTCTGGGAATCTGGATCAAATCTGAATGGGTTAAAAAATCCCAGGAATTTTTCAGTGTGATCCATTCAGATATGTTGGGCCTCTGTTCCTCAATACCCAGCCATTCCATTGTGGGTCTGGATGAACTTGTAATGGACTTGCCGAAAAGGGACTCTTAGTGCCCACAGGACAGAGAGAGCTAAAATGACCATCTATCTAATCACCTCTGCCCCACCACATACAGTATAATTCTTTCAATACACATTTACATGGAGTTGCATCTAGTTTTGCTTTTGATGAAAGTATCTACATTACAATCAAAATTAATTTCTTTGATGTTTAACAAGGCTAAACAATTCAGTCTTAGGACTAATTGGGCCATTCTAAATTTTAGAGAATAACTTACACTCAATAAGTAATTATAGTTGTGTTAAGTTTTGCTGAGTTGTTTCTTGCTAAATGCAATACATTTGTGTGTTCCAATTAAAACACCTAGTATCTATATTGAATGATTTGCAATTTTTACAAGAGAAATGTGCTCACAGATGACAGCTTATTGCAAAAATTCCCCTCTCCCAGATATGACACCAATTCAAGTCACAAAAACTCACTCTCAAGTTTTAACAGCATGAACAAGAAAACAAAATGACAGTACTGTAGACATCATTGGTTACTGATATACATGAAGATTGAATAAAACTTTGAAAAAAAAGAAGAATTTTTGCTTCATTTGCTTAGCATTCAATTAAAATGTTCAGATACCTACACCCATCATCAGTGCTGTGCCAAATTTGCAAATTACAAGTTTCATTTCTATAGAAATTTGTTGTCCTGTGCACTTCCATAGTCTCACAATACAGTAATATGATAGTATATTGTGCTGATTTAGAGTTGAAACTAATCCAGACCTTTATAATTTATTACACTCATTACAGATTGGGGCATTGTTCCTTCTCCCTCACTAATACTAGTCAGCTGCATTGTGAGTCAGGCCACACATAATGCAGTATGGCTGGCCATGTAGTAAGTGCTTTTACCTCATTTTAAGCAATTGATCATCTGTAACATGCAAAAAAACAAATTTTTTTATATATACATGTATAATTTTTTAGTCCATATACATATGCACCAATTAATAATCTTGTTAATCTGCTAAACATTTCATTTGTAACAAATTAATTTCTATTCATAATAAATTTCTAGATATAAATTACATATTTCCATACGAAATGTTCAATACAACTCTATTTTATATAACAATAACTATTACATTGAATTTTGATTTTTAATTGTTTTTGAAATGAAAATTTTATTTCATTTTTATTCATTTTTTTATAGGAAGAAGCAAAAAATACAGAAGCACATTTACACCAGTCAACAGAAACAAGTTCAGATCAAGTATGGGACTTCAGTAAATTTGAAGAAGCCATGAATTCATTAGTATTAGGTGATAAACAATTAAAAGAAAATCTCAATAGTCTTTCTGAATTTGCAGATCAAGAGGGAGGTAAAGTATTATATATTAATTTTTATTTTATAAAACAGTAGAATTGTTTTGAATTAATTTAATAAACAAATACGGTAAAATCTGCCAACTTAGCCAATTTTTTTTTTTGGAAAATGCATTCTGCCTTGTTTTTCTGATAACCTGACATTTATAAACACATGATTATTGATAGTTATATTTTCCCTTCATAATATTCTTTTATTTTTCTTGTAAAAACAGACCATTCCAGCAATTGCCAACCAGTGGTCTGGTCCATGGAGAAATTTGGACATTGATCAACTCAAGGTTATGCAAAGTATTACAAAATAAATGCAAAATGTTTCGTTACTTTTTCTCACTCATTGAGGTTTTTTTATTTGAAAATAAAACCAAACACAAAATGACTTTATCAATAAATAATGTGAGTGCAATTGTTTTCCTTTGTGGAAAAGAGCCAAGAATCCATAAATTAATTTCAAACAAGCAGAAACAAACTTCACACTAAATTTTTATAATTAAACAAGTAAATTTCATATTAATAAAGTAAAATGGAACTTTTATGATCATTGTTCTATAGATATTTATATTGTTTTAAAAAATTCATGATAGTGAGACACAGGATTCAAAATTGTGAGTTTAGTGGTCTGTGAGGTCAGCAAGGTTGGTGATTGCTGGACTATTCCATTGGAATGTATTAGATATGAACCAGCAAATCAAATGCTGAATTTGATGAAATAAGAGATTATTTTTATCATGCCAACTATAGCTTCACTGCAGATTAAGGTGATCAATAATTCTGTGATGATAATTCATAGTGAGTTCATAAAATAATCATGTAAAATAGGGATCACCAAACTTTTTTCACAACGGGGCCCATAACTGGGAGAATGACAAAAAGCGTGGGTTGCATAACCATTTTGTTCAATACAGTACACTGAATACACAAAAAATAAAGACAACTAACATGTTTATTTACCAATACAAACATGATGGCTGCAGCAAGCACGTAATCACTTAGAAACTTCATTGCAGGTACTTACACAAAAAATGCTCTGATATCCAAAGTTGCAAAAAGTTGCCAAATTTTTCATTTTACTGATTTTTCTAAATATTATATTACTGTCAGATGCAAAAAGCATATTAGATCAATTTTGGCAATTTTACTTAACTTATTTTAATTTTTTCTACATAATAAGTTTATTTACAATCTATGATATTTCTATATAAATTTTCTATAAAACCTTTCTAAAATTCTATATAAAACCTTTTAGCTCATTTGTGGTACAGTATGATGGCGGGCCATAGTTTGGTGACCCCTGATGTAAAACATTAATTTTGATATTTAACATTTTCAATGCTGAGACATGTTACCTTTATACAAAAATTCTTATACTAACTGTCAACAGATATTGCAAAATACATTTTGAGTGTAATGGTCCTATTCAGTTCCATTTTGTCTGGTTCCTACATTGTTATTAAATGCCCAAACCAATAAACAAAAAATTAAATTGAAAATTAGCTCCTTTCCTACCTTGGATTTTAAATCACTGATTTCTTTTACATTTTCTAAGTGCTTACATAAACTGTTTTTTTTTCAAATTGAGCTAATTTGTAATTCATTTAACTACATTTTAATTATGCAAATCAATACATTGAAATATATTGAAATTCATTTAGTTTGTTACTCTGTCTGCATATTTTATGAATTTCATAGTTTTTCAATGACTTCTATAAGCAGAATGTTTAAAGTTTTCAGTATGATTCTGAAAGTTTTTGAGTTCAAATATAACATTAGTTGGTTTACTTGATTCTTATAATTTCTGAAATAAATTTTGCTTGTCAAAAATAAAAAATGTTATCAAATTCCCTACAAACTCAGTCAAAAAAATCATTGAAAAACATATTTTAAGTACAGTATTTCCCCCATAAATAAGACCTAACTGGAAAATAAGCCCTAGCATGATTTTTCAGGATGCTCATAATATAAGATCTACCCCTAAAATAAGTTTGTAAGATTGTCAGCAAGATGATCATATTTAATAAGTTACAGATTATACATGCTATGGAATCTATTCTTCCATCAACAAATGTTTCTGATATAAAATAAGCTTAGTTTTTCAATACTGAATTTTATTTGTGGTTTATCATATTGATTGACATTTACGTAAACATTGATACCATGAATGTCCATTTAGCATTATTATTTTTTAATAATGACATTTAAATATAAATACTGTTGATATAAAAACAAAATATTTGCGATTTTATTACACAGTACTATATTTCATAATAAATTGCTTATTAAAAATACATATAATTTATATTTTTCAATAAAAATTATAAATATAGTAATTGAAAATTTTAAAAAATAAATATTGAGCATATAATAGAACATCAAAACTTATAAAATTACAGAGTAAAAATTCTCCGAAAAGCAAAATAAAGTTACTACTGTATATAAATTTTAGAACTTTTCATTCAGAAATAAAAAAATCTTTTCCTTACACTTTACTCCACAAATTTTATACCTTTTTTACACATTTCTGTGAATTGATGGTATTGTGTCAATTTTCATAAAGGTGTGAAATTTCAAATTCACAGAAACTTGTAAATGAGGAGACAGCACTTAAAACCAATAAATAAAAAATATCAAAAGGAAAACAAATGATAATTTATTTCTCCTCCTGTTTTGCTTATTTACATCTTGACAAATTTATTGTTTCACCTACAGTGGTAGTGTCAAGGACAATGGTAGGAATAAAATATGGTATTTTGTTTCAAAAAGGAATCCAATAGCAATTGGATAATTTAAAATTTGAGGGACTAAAAAAGTGCAATATAATGAGAGGTATACTGTATTAATATATAATTAAATATAAAAAAATATTATTATTGCATTAATACTTAATTATAATTTACATCATCATTTATTTTAAGTATTTGTAAATACCCAAGCGAGCACCTTTGGATGAGACATCCCCTGAAAATAAGACACATTAATTTTTGCTTTAAAAAATGCATTAGGAGACCTGGTCTTATTTTTGGGGAACACTGTAGTACTGTAAATATTGTTATACATAATACCTAAAGCAGTAGTCACACCATGAAAAGCAGTTTCAGAGCAACAATGGTATCAAATTTCAATAAAGCTTGCCTTTTTTTTAGTACATTGAAATCATCTTGTTAAGCAAATATTTAGACTTTCAAAAACATAATCAAAATACAGTGGGTGATCGGTTAACAAACAAATCAGATAACGAATACTTTTGCGAAAGATTTTTATGTTCGGACAATGAACACATGATTGGATAACAAACACCCCGCAGAACAAACACAGAAGAAACGACGTAAAATAATGAATACTGATTGGTCTTCCGTGTCTTCGAGCAACAATTCGAAACCAAGTTGAGGCTTGCAAACCATCCAACGCATCCAAACCGAGTTGAGGCTTGGGAATCTCTACAATTACAATGCTATTAATTACTTACGAAAAATCCTGAAGAAGAGAGAAAAGCAATCGACATTAGACAGATTCTTTAACCCTTTCAAATGGAAAAAACATTACTAATAAAAACGCAAGACTGTGTATATATGTATTTTTATTATTACATATAAATAAACATAGTAAGAAAGTATATATTTTTTTATTTTTGGGGGTCTCCAGAACGAATTAATTAAATTCCCATTAAAACCTATGGTAAATTAATAATCAGTTAACGAACAATTCGGATAGCAAACAAAATCTTGGAACGGATTATGTTCATTAATCAATCACCCACTGTATTCAGTTTTATTGCTGTATAACATTTGCAACATTTCAAGTTATGTAAAGCCTGGTTTTGCACACAAATCTTCATTTAAATCCTGATTCAGCATTAAGAAATGTTAGCTTCAGAAGTTGTTAGTCAATAGAAAAAGTACTTGTTGGTTTTCAAGTTTTTATTCAATTTTAGCATTGTTTTATTTTGTTCACTATCTAACAATTTATTTTGCCCAAGGTTTTTTTTTTTAAATTCTATACATAAACATTTCTGTGAAAAGAAATAACTATTCTACAACTTTATGCTATTATTTGAAAGCTGGTGTAATGTTAAGTTTGCTTTCTTCATTATTCATTAGTCTATTTTTATAAAATTTTTCATTTAAGATATAATAAACAACAAAATTATTCTATATTTTTAAAATTATTAAATTATAGAAAATTAAATACATCTGCTTATTGTAATTAGTTTGGGACTCATCTATTCTGATGATAATTGACCGATAACATTAAGCAAGATAAGTAAGACTACAGTTAGTGGAAATTCTGGTTTTGTTGACTGATATTAGATGATATGATTAAAAAAAATTTTTTAAGTTATATATTTATTTATTATTAATTAATTCCTATATAGTTTTCTCATTATTGTATATAGCATATAATTGAAGTAAAAATGCCAACAATTTAAATGATTAACATTTAATTTGCTTGCTTTAAACATAAGCAATAATCAAGACTCATAATGACTGCATATTGTCGACCATACATTGAGGCTAATAGTGAAAAAGATTGGTTAAATATAGATTGACTATCGTCATTGTCATAGTTTAAAACTAAGTTTAGTTATAGTTACAATAAGTAGTTTTAAAGTATGTTTTGGGGCATTAATTCTAATAACGTTACATGAATGATGATTATATCTATAAGTGGATGCTATTGTATTTATAAAAATTAATTTATGAATTAATTTTTGATATATAAATTTCATTCAATATTATTTACTTTGTTTTACAAATTATTATCAGAAACAGCGGATGAGGATTTTGCTGCATCGCTAGCGAATACTTTGAAAGGATTGGCTGAAAACACAGAGAATATTTTTGTAAATATTTTTATATTTTATTAAGAATTTAAAATACAATAGAGCATCGATCGAAACAATTTGGGACTGGGGTTGTTTGGATAACTGATTTTTCGGATAACCGATCATTTACGAAAAATATATTAAACACAAAACTGTACTGTGTAAATTTTGTATCACACATCTTATAAATACATATCTTACATAAAGTAGTACATTAAAGTAGGCCTAAATTTAGGTTGGCAGGGAGGGGGAGAATGCTGCAGCACCAAAGCACTAGTGGAAATTTGAATTTGCCTACTGGAATGCTTTTGGTTAACTGATGTTTCGGTTGATTGGTATTTGGATAATCGATGCTCTACTGTGTATATATATAATTTAACACATCATGGATATTAAGTTTTATAAATTTTTAATTCCTATTTCTTAAACTATATGTATAGGCTCACTTAACGACTGTTCCAAGAAATATATCATTAAGTGGCATATATCCATACATCATTAATAAAATTTAGTGCAGTCTAAATCTCATTGTAATTTATCCAGTATGCATTTAATATTTTTCTTTTAATAATGGAAAATCAACATCTGGACCTGCATGAATTAGATTTCAATTTGAATTATTTGTAGTACACAGCAAAGTATTAGTCTGCTGTTGTGATCATCTGATTTAAACTGAATATTAATGAATAAAAGTTGCTAGAATGACAAAGTAGCCTTCACTCCCAACAGAACTCTTTTTATACTTCTGTCAAAATCTGAGTGTGAGGAAGATTGAAACCTCTTAATTGTCCTATAGTCTGTAAAGGAGGCATTGAGGCTATTTTGTAATTTTAGGAATTTCTTTACTTACTGATAGAATCAATGCTTTAAGTATATTTATATTAGAATCTGATGATCCAAACTAACTCAGCAAGAACAGGAATTTTCCTCTATGGAATTATTGCAATTATTTCCTTTTTGTTAAAAACATTGTGAATGTGTCTCTTACTTCCAACAAATGAAAAATAAACTTTAACATTTGAAACCCTGTAAAAAGATCCAGAAAAGAAATTTCTTGGCCCTTTTATAAATCAACTTCATAAGTTACTTTGCTTTTTCAGAAGTAAAATATTTAAATGACTTCATAGAATTAGGTAAATAAATAACAAATTGACAAAGAAGTCTTTCAGTTCTTGAACATTTACTGTTATAAAATCTTTCTAATGATACTATATAATTTCCTAAATTATTACATTAATGGAAAAAGTGCTATGGATATAATGATTGAGCAGATGCAGAAACTTATATTGTGAAACCCTCCTCCAAGTTATATATTGCACTGTGCTAAGATGCAACTGAACTGCCCACCATTGGCCAAACTGCTTTATATCTAATTATTAAATTAGTCTTAACAGAACCCATTAAATAATCCCACAGATCATTTTGCAACACTAATTGAATCAGATTGTTGTGTATGTCTTAAATTTTATAATTATTTGAAGAAAATGGAATCGAAAACACTTTTTCTAATTTGACTCTTAATTTATATTCCTATTGTTTATAATAAACTCAATTTTCCACACAAATCTGTCTACTTTAAATCAAATTTGTTTTAATTTACGTTTTTCAATCCATCATCATCAAATTTCTTGAACTGAATGCTCACTTTTTATCCAATACTTTTGATATAAGTAACTAGAAAACTTTAATGTTTGCTTATAAATCCACTTATAAATATTTATGTAATGATATAAGTAAATATTGTAAATTTAAAGTTTTATATTTATCTAATTAGGAAACTTCGAACGAAGATTTTAAACAACTACTAAATAATTTAGCTAAAGACAACGAAGCCGGAAGTGATGACATCATGCCAAATTTTCTACCATTGATGCAAGACATCATGCAAAAATTACTGTCCAAAGAGCTGCTGTATCCGGCGTTAAAAGATATAGTCGATAAGGTGGGTACATTTTATTACTTTTATAAATTCAAAAGTTCTATTTTCTGACTCTTTTTTTTTAATAGTATCCAAAGTGGTTAGAAGATGCTCAAGGAACACTGCAACAGAAAGAGTATGACTGCTACAACCAACAGTATCAACTGATGAAGGAAATCTGCGAGGAATTTGAGAAGGAAGATGACGACAACAGACTAGAAAAGGAAAAATTTGATAAAATTTTAAATTTAATGCAGAAGGTAGGCAGATTAAAGTTTGATTTGGTTTGATTCTAAATTATTAAACCCATTAATGAAAACAAAAATTGAATATTAATTCTTTGGCACTTTAAACTTTTCCTTTCCTTAACATTTTTATAAATTATCTTCATCAGTTTCGTGTTGGTCTTTATTTAGCATAATACAAATTTACTGTACATTAAATATTTTGAAATTGCTACGGGGATGCAGCAAGAAATTATCACTTAATGATATGCAATAGATTCCTATTTCTATGATCTAATTGGTTATTGGAAAACAATAGTTTAATTTACAATGACAAACCACAGTTCTGTGTTGTAAATTAAAGTTTTTTAGAATATAAACATAGTATAAAAATTTATACCAGTTGTAAAGCAGAATACAGTGTAATGTATTCTGCTTTACGACCAAATATATCATGTATAATGTGAGTCGTTATATATGTTATTTGGTGGACAGATGACGAAGACAAATCATGTTTGAGTTTAAGTTGGTTCAGTTTGAATCAGTCAGAACAATTGAATGGTCTAAATCAATGTTTCCCAACTTTTTTGTGCTATGTCCCACCCAAGCCTTTCTAAAATTATTTTCTCCCCTAACATATATAGCTATATGGTTAACTTAAACTCTGGATGAGTCCATTTTCGAATTGCCCCCTTAACAATCCAACTGCACAGGGGGGCCCCACATTGGGAAACACTGGTCTAAATGCATTTTAAGTTGGAGAGCATTTGTAAACTTTTTGATAATAGATAATGTTTATAAATATAATTTATGATACATATTTCAATGTTTTATTTCAAATATTGTATCAGAAATATATAAATTAAAACAAAAATACTGCAGTTAACTACGAATTAAATAAATGTAGAAAGTTTACAAATTGATCATCATAGGCATCAACCTGTGGATCACAATCGGTATCAAACTTTTTCCATCCTTCTCTTGTGGGTAGGAACTGGTATTGATTTTTTCCATTCTTTCTGTGTTAGGTTTCATATTTTATTAGAAATTTTATCAATTTTAATTAATAAATATTTATTCAAAATCAAATATGGTAATGCAATGTGCTTTTAAGATGCAATGTAATTCATAAACACTCTCTTTATCTTTTCTTACAGAAAAAAATTTAGTTATTTTAGGGAATATTTTACCCCATTCTTTGGAATTAATACTTAATAAATAAAAGTTCTTTTTATATTCAAATTTTTGAAAGTTCCCTAAAAAGATATACAAATTGGTGCAAAGTTTCTTTTTGAACTGTTTGTCCTGTGGGCAGTCCTATTCCATGTTCTTTATAGATTTGCTCCAATGGGTAATAAACAAGCCTTTTTGTGTCTGCATCCAACCACTTATGAAAATTTTGAGGATCTGACTGGAATTTGACAGTCAAATGCCTTTAATGCTTTCACAATTTCAAAAGCAACATTGTCAAATTTCATACTAATAAGCATGCATGCATATCTTCATGCTCATAATGCAAAAAAGATGAACAGCAGGCAAAAAGACTAGAAATTATCTATTCATCCACTTTCTCTATAACTTTTTGTCTAGACATTTCTAGAACACTTCCTCACATTATCTTTCTGACTTATTATCTTATGTTCTTTCAGATATTCATCCACTTGTTCCAACCAAGACTTTTTTGGCTTTCCCATGTATTTTCTCTTCAATGGTTCTCCTATCATTCAACATGGTTGAACCGTTATAGAGCTGATTAACTCACTTTTCAAACCACTTTCTCTTTCATTCCTCCAACCTTGTTCATTTCTCACATTATCTCTTGTTATGCCACACTCTCCTCTCAAATACCTCATCTCACATGCAACTTTGTGACTCTTGTCATACCCAAGTTCAAGTGCTCGCATACATGGCCAATCACACTTCTTAGACATTGCTTACAAATTCACTTGTTGCACCCATCACCTGTACTCCTGCATTCACACTTCTCGTGATTTCACTGTCTATCCTTCCATTCCTATCTATCATTCTTCCCAAATATATAAACTCATTCTTAGTTGGGTGATAAACAACTTGTTCCAGTTGTTCGCCATCCAGCTCAATCATGCAATCCATTTGCTAACCTTTGCATTCAAACACAATTGCTTTCACTTGGAGCATATATTCCTCACATGTCTCAATATTAGAAGTGTCTGAAGCTCTTCCTTGCTCTAATGGCACAGTGTCATCTGCGTACAATAAACAACAGACTTGTTCATTTCAATTCTCATTCCACTCTCACTCTAGATCTCCTCATGCATGTATCCATGAAAATATTAAACAACATGGAGATATAATTTTCTCCATGTTGTTTAATATTTTCTCTCTCATCTGCATTTTCTCTCTTGCACACCAGACCAGATTAACACATTCTCATTCACAGAGTGTATGGATGGATATCCATCCACTCTGTGAATGAGAATGTGTTATGTGAATGAGTGTGCATGGATGGATGGATATCCATGCATGAATGAGATGAAAGAGAGTGTATGTTATGGATGGATATCTATACACTCCTTGCCTTTCTCTTTCATCTCATTCATGCAAAGAATGTCTTGTGAGTGCACTTCAAAGTAACCTATTTTCAGTCATTTTCCTTGTTAATTTACTTTATCTCTTGCCCCTCTTACATTCCACATACCCAATTGACGTTTACATTTATGTTTTCTTTTTCTCATTAGCTTATTCCAGTCCTGTCACTTTCTGGTTGGTGGGGAGCAACGTATGAAGTCAGTCCCCACTACTCCCAGACCCTGCATTTTTCTTCTGCCTTCTTTTAACAAGAGAAAATTTTTATATTATGGGAGTGTTAGTCCCACACCCAACTCCCAATCTAGAGGACCAGTAATCTGACCTGTTTGGCATGGTACCCTGTCGGTACCAAACCTGCTGCCGACATGGCTCACAGGGTGTAAAGGCCTGCAAGCCTGCCACAACAAAGTGGATATCTTGGAGCAGGTGCTACTTTTTGGGAGTACTCAATGTTGCCAGATATACAGTACAATAATTTGACATTAAGTGAGAATTCTTGTTTGTAAATCAGTCATTAATAAAGAAAGAACAGAGTACTTTAAAGGTGTATGTCAACATGGTTAGAATGCACTTAACTTGACAGCTAACTTACGTGATTTTGCTGGATTACTGATAGTTAATCTGGCATCATTGGGACCTGTAGTGTGCTGATTAAGTAATTTAAATAAAAGTTAACCATCATTAATTACTTTTGTTGTCTTTATAGACTGACAGTTTAAAACTGTGTGGAAAAAGAAAAACAGTACAAATTTTAAAGAATGGCATTTAATTGGCCAATTATATTGTCACCCAATGTCTAAATTTTCTATTGCTGTCAGAACAGAACAGTCTACGATCTTTTAGTTTTATATGCCAATTTATTGCAAACAGAAGAAAACCTATTTGAATTTGCCAAAGTTTTCTTTCACAGAAACATTTTTAGAATTAATTCTTTGACATTGAATTTCATTTGAGAAAAATTTGTATTTGTGTAAGTTACATATGGCTCTGATCTAGCTTGGAGGGGGGAAACTATTGGAAGTATGATTTTGGAATGAAGAACTTACATAGAATTTAAATGCTGATATAGAAATTTTAATTGTAATTTACAGCCATGTTTGCTAGTAAAGTTAAGAATTTTTATTTTATAAAAAGCATGTGTGTGCAATTATTAAAACCGTCAACAATTGTAATTATATAACCTATTTAATTTTAAACATAAAAATTCATTTCTAGCAATTGAATGACACACACACAACTGATCATTAATATAGCTATTTTTTTTCCCTCCTCAATACTGGTTCATTTTGTACAATTACAATTATTATATTTAAATAAACTAGTAGCTATGCAAATCTAGATTCTTGGCACCAATGACAAACAAAATATAGAAATAAACTGGACATTCAAGAGTTGCTCTAGGTCAGAAATTTAATGTTCTGCAGACAGTGTGAGAATGACACAATGAGCTATTTTTTTTCCCTTCTTTCCAATTTGAGATTAAATGCTTGATGTGACAAGCCCAGACTATTCTTTGCAAGAATGGCAATCCAGTGCAATGAGATTGAACCTATGAGGGTGTGGGAATTTCAATCTCTTTACAGTGTGATCATTTTCTCTCAACTCCATTTTACCCTAACAGTTATTTCAAGGAAACAACTTAAGAAGAAAATTCAACAAAACTTTTTCTTAATATTTGGATTGCTACACGAAGTTTTCATTCTCTATCTGTGATTGAAGACGATGCAATAGGCCTTTTTTTTTTTTTTTTTTTTTTTTTTGTAACCTGTAGCCCGGAAGATTTCTAGTTTGTTTTTTGTTCTAGTCAAGTCAATGTTCTGTGGCCCAGGTGAGGCACATTGCTTGATGCCTTAGTGGGTCAATGACTACTACCAGACCTCAAGAATGCAGTGTATGTCATATAGTGCATTGACTGATGGGTTCAGCAGCACCCATGTTGAAGTCTGATGTTGGCAGCCACGAACATCCACACACTGCTGATGTCTGTCTGGAATCAAATATTCCTGGTAAAGCTTTGAAACTGTTGCATGAAAATATCCAAGAGCATTAACTGATAAGTATTGTATGACATGTGAATGTTCTGGCTCAAAGTATTTCCCCATGAGTAGATGATAAAAATGTGTGTCAAAAATTAGAAACGTCAATCCTGTTTTAAACTAATTACTAAATATTTGTATTAAAAAAAATTTGCAACAATTTGATACCTTTGAAATCAGCTCCACCTTTATAAAAAATTATTCAGAACAGGCTTTTAGACATATTGAAAAAGTCAAACTGTTTTTTACTACTCTCTCTGTAATATGCTGGATTCAAGAAAACTGTTAAGTCCTGTGCAAAACTAGTTGATATAGTTGCATTGGCATCGTGAGTCTATCCTTCATTTGTGGGAAAATTTGCTTTGCTTTGACGTTTACTGACTAGTTAGTAAAGATTTCAGCTAAAGCTGGATACACACTGTCACAATTCATAATTTTCTCTTGCATTTTCTTTCAACTACATTACCTTAGAGAAACTGAACATACAATAATATTTTGAAATGATGTGTAATATGAGGAAGAGCAGTGTCTAGTGTTTTATCAGATTAAGATTGAAAATATATTTCACTTAAAAATGCATTAATGTACAATGACTTATTGGTCTTTTCAGATGCAGGATTGTGGCCATCCTCCAAAAGAACTAATTGGCGAAATGGTAAGTAATAGGTATAGTATCTGTTGGAGTTTGTATGGCCAATTAACGAATGATCTCTAATATTTCAGCTCCCCTTAATAGAGTTTGATGAACGAGGAAATCCGAAAATACCAAGCCTACAGGGAGACCAGTGTAGTATAATGTAAATCCGTTGTTGCATATGATGTATATTATTTACGAAGTTCGTTTGTATAATAATTGTCCGTGCATAGCTTTTGAAAAATAAATACTTGTATTTTACACTTGCTGTAGTCTTTATTTTGAAACAAAAAAAATTAAAATAAGTTTTGATTTTTGAGCTGCTTAAGCATATAAAATATTTTGATTCAACAACTGTTGTTAAACAACAAAATTGGGAGAGTGAAAACTCAACATTTTTTGGACTAGCAGATGTTTTTACTGAAGGATAAATTAATTTTTTTGTACCAGTATGTTTGACTAGACCGATGTTTTATGACTTAGATGCGCTGAATCTCGAACAGTTTTACGTCTGTGTCATACCATATCGGTGGATCGACATTCCTGCAAGAAAGAGGGATAAATATAAGTTTTTGCATCCAAATGTTGTGGTTAGGTTAGGCATCTTTTTTACCTTAGATAAATGACGCCCCACATGTATGTACGAAACCACATGGTTGTGCCACTATTTGCCTGGTATTTTCTGATGAGAATGGGATGTGGAATGGGAAGTAGACCCACTAGTGTTCCATGTTGCAAGAACTTCAAAATTTCACTTTCGTCTGTCAGGCCTCTGAAAGTGTGATATTAATTACACTACTAAAAGAAAAATTAAATAAATGAACAATTATTACTTACTTGTCTATACAAATTTTTTCGACTTGAGGAACCAAAACTTGTAACAGTCTCATGATGGTTTGCAGTGGTAACTTTTGTTTCCATGAGAGTACCCAGTCTGTCGTGGGAATCCAGGGACCTTGAGTGCCACTGCTCACACTCTGGTTGCTGACTGATCTCCTGCAGGCATTTTGATTTGGAGCTGTTCGAGACTGTCCGGTTTCTGAACCGGAAGACGTTATCGATGGAGAGGGACTGGCTGGGAGGGATGACTAAAAAGCAATCAATAATTTGGCAAATCTACTTTAAAGATGTCTACGTTAAAGTATAAAAATGTAATTACTGGTTTGTTATCATTTCTGTTATCTTCATTTTCTGCAATTTCTACATTTTTCGAAGTCACCTGTCCTTCAGGTTCCAGACTCTGTGAAACAGTCTCGTTGTCCATTCTGTTGTTTGTTTCTGTATCGGGTGGACCATCATGGGCAGAAAGATGTGCCTGTTCTTGCTCAGTCATTTTGTCGATTCCTGGATACGCCATAGGCAAATACACATTTTTAACCTCTTTTTAAAATGTAATAAAAGAATTTGAAATATAATTACGTGGTGTTGCTGCCAGAGATGCATTCAGAGTTCCCTTTTCAGCCAGTTTGGCAGACTGAGATGATACTTCTTCCATATCTTCGTCATTATTATTATTGTTGGGTGAATTGCTTCCGGAGGCATTTCCACCACTCAGACTATTAATACTGGAGGAGGAAGCAAGACGTTTGCACTTGCTCAGAGATTTCTGAATGGTAGAATAGTCTGTGGGCAAATTTGCAAGTGCGTGAAACACATTCCGTTTACGAATGATAGTGTACACTAAGTTTGAATTGCCTGAAAAAAAAAAAAAAAATGGAAGATAATCTTAATATCAAATTGTTGCACTCTTCAGAATAAATGTGGGGATTGATATCAAGTTATAGTCAATATAATTTTGAATTAACTTGCTAATTTCAGAATCTTGTGTTTGCAAGAATCTCATCCATTCTAGAATATTTTAATATTTTTTGTGCATAAAACTATAGATGGTGATGATAAGTGCATCCTGCATCTGAGATTCAATTGAAAAAGTAATGGGACTAATTTTATTACAAAGCAATTATTCAAAATTGTTACATTTTAATGCTAATTCTCTTCTTGGCAAGCCTCTTCTGACAATGCGCTTGTTCCATCTTTTTTCAAGCCTTGTACCATCTCCAGAAGTCTTTTTTTATCAACCTGTTGCCTAATATCAGTTATATTTTTTTACATGTTTTTTGGAGGAGCATAAATACACCATTCAGAAGGGTCTTTCCACTACTTACATTGACTTTCGCTGTCCGGGTTGACTTTGATGATGCCAGATTGCTGCAACAGTGCGAGGACCCGGCCAAGCTGAAATATCTCGAACAACTGGAGATATTTAAAGCATTTAAAGAGGGGAACAACAATTAATTTTAAAGATATGGACGTGCATTAGCAGCTGCCTGGAGGGAGTGCTTTGACATTTGACATATGATATATAAAAACAAACTTGTGAGGATCTATTTTATATAAACTTAATATTTTAAAACTGGAATCCAGCTGGAAGACTAATTTTTTTAAACACATCATTGAACATGCACATAACCAATGTGCGACTTTTTAAATTTTGGAATTTACATTCTTTTACAAATGTTCCATTACATCGAAACCTGATGATGATTTAAAACGGAATAAAATGTTTGTTTAAACGAAAATTAATTGCTTATTTTTATTGGATGTTCTCAATGGTTTCAAAACAACGATGACTAGAAGTCAAAGAATGACAGTCCTTACACATTCAACAATCACTTGAAGTTAAAGGATGTTCTGATCTCGATTCATCCTTCACCAATTCTTGCCCTTCTTAGGTGTATTGAGTTCACGGGTTGGATGTCACGCCAACTTATGTCAATCAAAACTTCCAAGAACGTCAGTCTATGAGGCATTAAATATACTTGAAATTATTTTTAATTTACGAGCGCTTTCGACGTAAATAAGCACGTCGTCTTCAGGTAAAATTAAATTCGAATAAAGAATTCGAACCATACATTTAAATTTAAAACATTAACGATACTAGCCGTTTTTGAACATACAAAAAAGAGATTTTAAATTTAAATATTTAGAATTAAACATTTAAAATTGGTGCGCATGCGTTTTAAAACAAATAAACATCGATTGGAGTGGCTATTAATTATTATGTGAACGCGAAAAATTGGCGCACGTGCACCTTAACATGCATAACATGAGAGCCAATTAGATGTCTATTAAGTACAATTAAATTTTTAGAATTTAAATTAAAACACTTTGTAAATACGTATAAAATTTTTGGCACGCATGCGCCTTAACATAGATAGCATAGAAACCGATCGGAATAGATCCACAAGTGCAAGTTTATGTTAAAATTTAAATTTTAAATATTAAAGCGCGGGACATAATTTAAAATACATAACACACGTAAACAGACGCACATAAAGGGGCCGACATGTATGTGCTTTGAATCATGTAGGAGGTGCGGGAAGAGAATGCAAAATTATTGTTGGTTTTTTAACCGCCTGAATAAATTAATCCAGACGTCCGGTAAATCGAGGGTAGGGGTGTTGCACGGGGAGAGCAGTTTTGTGAGGAGGGCCTCCCAAATGTATATCAAGTTCCCTTCATCACAGCGTTTGAGTATTTCCACTCGATTCCAAAGCGCTACGTGGTGGTGTTGTATCACCAATTTGGAAAGTTCCGTGTCACAATTGCCAAGTGCCACCGAACGTTGGTGTTCAGATATGCGAGCAGCCAGCATTCTCGTAGTCGCTCCTATATAATTGGTGCATAGTCCTGATATTGGATTCTGCAGGGGAACGGAGTATACACCAGATTTTTCCAGGGTGGAAATAGCATCCCTATCATTACATAAGATTCGTCGCAGACATGGTCGTGAGGCAATGGGTAAACGAAAGCCATTCTGCCTAAAAATCCGGCAGATCCGGGCCGTGAAGCGTCCACAGTATGGGAGTGAGGGACGGAGCGTTGTCCAATCCATTGGTCTGCGCAATGTGGTGGCAGGGAAGAGAGACTGTATAACTCTATTTTTGACATGGATGTATTTGGAGGCACTAAATCCCGCCGCATACACCGCTGTGCGGACAGCCTCCAGTTCGGTATTGATAAGATGTTGTGTCGATGGTAGTAAGAATGCCCGTCTGATCAAGGGGGCTATGGCCGCATTAACATATTGCTGTGGCTGACAGGCTGTGGCCGGTATTATGGGTGGGATATTTCCAAATTTGTGGTAAACGGAAAACTCCAAGCCCTCCTGGGATTTTTGAATGTGCAAGTCCAAGAAAGCAATTTTTCTCCCAACTTCCTTCTCCCACGTGAAGTGTATAGTGGCATATATTTTTGATAAATGATGATCTAATACCCGGAAGGAATCTTCCGTATCCTGCCACGCTAAAAGAATATCATCCACGTATCTCAAATAAATTAAGGGGTAAGCTATGGTGAGAGGGAATTTAAAAACGCTGTGTTCAACGCGCCGCATGACGAGCTCTGCCAATACAGCTGACAGTGGTGAGCCCATTGGCACCCCCTGCTTCTGCAAGTAAATCTTTCCGTTAAAGCGGAAGTAATTGTGCTCCGTAATAAAGAGTAATGCTTCGCGAACTTCTAAAACTTGCTGTGCACTAAAGCCCTCTTTGATAAGTAATGCATTGGCTAGCATTACCGCTTCGAAATGCGGTACCGAAGGGTACAAGGCGACTACATCCATTTTATAAAATGTGTAAGCATCTGGACTCAAGCCAGCCAGCGTAGCGCATAACCTCTCTTTAGCCGCGACAGATGAGGTCACTACTTGGGAGGAGGAAGGGAGTAGCCCACCTAGCAATCTAGCAAGCGCTTTTTCGAGGAAGTATGTACTTTTTTGTATGTTCAAAAACGGCTAGTATCGTTAATGTTTTAAATTTAAATGTATGGTTCGAATTCTTTATTCGAATTTAATTTTACCTGAAGACGACGTGCTTATTTACGTCGAAAGCGCTCGTAAATTAAAAATAATTTCAAGTATATTTAACGCCTCATAGACTGACGTTCTTGGAAGTCTTGCCCTTCTGAAAACATTTTATGCCAACAAGCATGAACATCTGATGGAACTTTTACAATGCATTAAAAATTGCATATGATGTCAGTTTCAGCTGCACTCTTTCATATTTCATATAAAATTTTGCTGAATATCATTGTTTAATACTTTTCTCCATTCTTCTGTAATCACTAGTCAGAAGTACACTCAATAAATCTTCAATATTACACAAGAAGGTTAAAACTTGTATCAAATGTTTGGTGTAAGGATTACACAGTTGACTTTGGCAACACTGTAAAATTTGTTTACAATAATGCACAATACAAATTTAGCCTCATTACTTTTCAGTCAGACCTCGTATACAGCAAGACAACCAAATAGTAAAATGTTGATGTTTTGAGCCTCAGAAATCATGGATATTGGACTAAAAGTTAGAATTAAAATAAAATATCATTTCCAAATAATTTCCAGTTGTTTAAAATAATATTTACGGTGATCTACTCTATATCCATGCAATTACCGAAAGTGGCTATTTTTCATGGAAATATTGTAATCCACTATTTTATTACTATTATTTACCAATACTATATCTAACACGAGGCATAATATTTTGTTACAGTACATCATCATCAGTTACTTGATATCACCAGCAATTTTAATAATAATAATAAACATATACTCCTGAAGACAAAGTATCTTGACTTCAAAAGCTTTAACAGCAGCATTAATGCAAGGATCTCATTTTAGTGGAGGTATTATACTACTTGATATCAGTGAAAGTAAAGACCTGTGGCTAAAAAACCCCAAAAAACATACTGGAAGAAAGTGGAAAGGTTGACCAAAGAAATAGAAAAGTAAGAAAACATTGTGAACCTGCTATACTAAAAATTGACAGTAATTGGGAAGTCATGAAGCAGGTAAAGCAAGTTTAACACTGAGTTACTACATATTTATCACAGTGCCTAGAAAAACCTGCAATGTGTGCAAATTATTTTTATAAAAATCATGAATGATTATTACCTACATATGTAAAATTTTCATACTCATTAGCTATTTTCTTTTATACTTTCACATTTATCAAAATTTAATAGCATCAATCCCCTAATACCCAAACCTCCCTGCAAAATTTCAGAAATTTTTGACAAAAAGCACAGGAGTTATTAAGCTTTCAAAGTGGATAAACAAAATTGTGACCTCCACATACAAAAACATCCACAATATAGGAAAAAAATCTCCAAATCTTTTTTATTTTTTGACATTTCAAGATCCTGAGTCCAAAAAAGTCTGAGGCTACAGCACTGCATAATCTATAACAAAAAAACAAAAGGCAAGAATTGATGTAAAATCTGCGTGTAACTCTCATCAAGAATATCTGAGCAAAGGATGAGTTGTTTAAGTACATTTAAATATTTCATAATAAATTGTCAGTTGTAAATTTGAAAACAATCATTCAAGTTATCTTTATTTCATATAGTATGCTTGAAAATGCAATAGTATATTACTTTTTTCACTTTTAGATTGAAGGAATAACTTTAATTGCATGATTATTGTGAAAGCAATGGTTTTCAATTATTTATATAGTTTTAAAAATTTAAATACCAAGATTTAGACAAAAAAGTCTTAAGATCCTCAGAGAAAAGTAAAAAGAAAAAAGGCTGGGTCTTTGTCATTTGGAAGAAATGTGGCTGTTTACATCAGGAATTGAAAAATGCATTATAATGTATTTCTGGATTAAACAATATTATAACCCAATCCATAATTTGTGAGATTTAAACTAAAAGCAATTCAAGAAGAAATGCAAGTTGCCTTATCAGAAATACAATCTAATATTAGGGACAATGTACTCATCTCTAGACTCAAATTTCCCAGCAAAAGCAATTCTGAATGATAGCAAATTTAAATTTCTTTGTTTTACAATTATGCTTATGAACAGTATTGACACATTTAAATGTTTTGTTTGTAATTTCTATTGTATTATTACAAAGATATTATTAATAAATAATAAAAATAAAAGTTCATTTTATTCTATTTTTTCTAATTTATAGTGCGTTATCACCCATGTTCAATATTCACACAAGGAGGGTGTTGTGCACCTAAAGTGTGGTCAGTGAGTGTGATGAAGTCATGAAAAATTAAAACCTTAACAAGTGGTTTTCAAATCAATAAATGGTAAAATTAAAAGTGTCTGCTATACTTACCATCAAATTGGTATTGTATAATGTTGTTGAAAATCTCCAGTAAAAAGAACACTAAATGGTGGTTTGTAGAATTTGAATATAAAAACCATGGAGTGCTAAAAGCCTTAAAGAAAAAAAATAAAACAAGTAAATTAATAAAATACTTTCGTTATTATAAATAATCTATGAAAATATTAGTAAAAATATTACCTCAAGTAAATGCAAAAGTTTTGTGCTTGCAACCATTGATAGAGTTTTCAAATAAGGCGAAACTGAAATATAACATTGTTGTGTATAAATAGAAAAGAAAGAAAGTGTAATATTAAAATCTACTCTTACCATTTACAATTATAGTTAATAGACAATCAAATAATGGCTGAAGACGTTGGTGACCCGTGGTAATAATTTTATGAAATACCTATGAAAAAATATGAAATGGAATAATACAATTTAAAAATTATTCAACTTATATGATTTTTTAAACAAAAATAATATAGACCACATACAATTATTAATAGATCTGCATGAGTTCCTGTGAAAACTGGAATGTCCATTGGCACACTTGCTGTGTAGGGTTTATTTAACCGCACGCCAAAATTTCTTTCTCCGCTCAGCAGCAACAAAATAAATACTCCAATATGTACTAAACCTACACGAGCTAAAATATGGAAAATGATATTATCTTAATAAAAATTTGTAGCTTAATTAGAAATTTTGAATTGTAAATGCCTGAAAATAAACTTACATTGATCTGCTCTAGCATCATTTAGATGATATAAAATTGGAACTAATACCTCTAACACTTCACTACTTTTCAGTACGTAAAACATGAATTTCTATTCAATAACACAAATTTATATTTTGGATAAAAAATAGGAAACAATTTTTAAAAAAATTAATGTTATTAGAATGCATTTATATAATTCACATACTTTATTATAATCACACATCTTCCAAAAGAATATTAATAATTCTTGATGAAATTGAATTTTCTTTGTGGAATTAGGCAAGTAGGTTTGAATAAGTGGATTGTTTAATAAGCGTGTAAATCCTTTCAGTACAAAGGAAAAATCTTCTTCACGATGAATACGAGACAAATAGTTGATGAAGAGATTTTCTGGCATTGTTTTCTACAAATAAAATATCCTTAAATTAATAATGTGATAACTATTTCTATCAGAAAACTAAGTATTGTGGTGTAATTTCAAATCTAGCTAAAATAAATTTTTTTAATAAACAATAAATCAGATATTTAGAAGCCCTTAACTTTCAGTTTAGAATTCTAATTTTTAAAATTAATAAAACTTGCATCTAAATATCTAGATTTTATTTAATTAGAGTAATAAGGAATTCAAATATAAAATTTAGTTTTCAAATTGAAAACTTCCCAAACTTCATACATTACAAAATCAATATCTACACTAATATATAAAGTGAGAATGTTGGTTTATTTGTAACAGGTGACCTCAATCTACCAAACATATTTTAAAAATCCTTTTGTTATTGGAAAGCTGATACCTTCCAGATGAACATAGGCTATATACAGATAGCCCTCGGTTTACATCGGTTCAATTTACACCACTGCACAATTTGCCGTTTCAAGGTGTAATTCCCAGATTTTCCCTATGCTAGACTGATTTTCATTTCAGTGTTGACATATTTACCAAGCCGTGACATTGTACATTCGTTAAAACAAAGATTTTTATTAAATATATTTATTTTTTCTGTTTAATATTATTGGGTATGTATACATTTGCATTAAATTAATATTAAAATACTAAACGTTTAGGTACCCACAAGTCAAGATATTAAACTTAATAGTCCAATAAATGGCGTCCGAATCCATAGTGCCAATAAATGTATCCCGTATCAGTTCATTCAGGAAAACACCTTATGACGCAATAGCACTTCCAGCAATCACAAATTATCGTTAGTGAGACAAATCTACTTCTCGTTGGCCAGACGATATTTCTCTCTCCTTAGCCACCTTGAATTTTCCCGCTCAAACTGACCTGACATATGCGCTACGGCGACCGGTGGTCGACCAATCAGTGTCTTCGCTCGTCTGTAGCTCTACGTCGGGTTAATGTATCCTTTCAACTAAGGAAAGTTTGACGGATGAAGTTTGTGAGTTAGACAATGTTGGGAGCAAAGTGCAAATGTAAAAAGGAACATCATATTCAACCATATTCCGAAATTCTTAATGAAAGAAATCAAAAATGTAAACAATTAAAGATGGATACTTTTTCCAAAAGTGTAAGAAATTCAAAACTAAAATTTTTAAATAAAAACATTTTACTTTATTTTATGATAAAATACATTTTTAAAATTAAAAATATATATGTATTTTGTATTATATTGTATTAATAAACAAAATTATTAGCTTATTTTTCACTTATGTAGAACCTAACCTTATACCTCACTGTAAATATGGGTTCGTTTTACGCTGATTCAATTTGCGCCGGCTTTTGTAGGAACGGAACTGCGGCATAAACCAAGGGCTACCTGTACTATTTTCATAATAAAAAAGCAAAATGCACAAGAATGATGGTTTTTACCATAACATTTCTTTTGCATCATCATTTGTCTGCTCTGGTCATTGTCAATCCCCTTTGCCATCTGGTGGACTTCTTTAAACCTATTATCTTATCTATTTGGTTCAATATTTCAATTCCTGTAGTTTAAGTAGTAGTGTATATGCTTTGATTATATTGTCTTGACCAATTGTTTCTTATAATAATACTCTTATGTTATCAGATACTTATAAGGAATGAATTTATTTCCTTTGGATGAAATTAAACTTTTCTAAGTATTCCTATAGTATTTGTATATGTTTATTATTGTAGTACCATTATTTAAAAATAAAAATTAATTTTATGTTGTGCAATATCTACCTATATAAATTGAGTTCTTTCAGTTACTTTTCAGTTGTGCACATTTGCAAATGAGCCTTATTGGTGATAAAATGTCTAAAAGAAAGTCGCAATTGTTACAAAATAAAGCAGTGTCAAGGGCAAGCAAATTATGAGTTAAATGAATGTATAAAAAAAGCAATGTTTGTTTATTTGTTTATTTTTTACTTCAAGGTAATATCATAATGTAATGAACAAATTTTTAACATTCTTTCACCATTGGGAAGCTTATTACTTTCCACTGTACATAACCTACATTAAAAATTGGACCCTTCACTCCTTCCTGCTGATTCAGCTCCCCTACAAACTCTCAAATCCTTTGACTGATCTGGACCAAATTCCACATAGTTAGTCTCTGGTATGGGAAAGACTTGGACCCATCATTCCTTCTCTCTGATTTCATTCCCTAAACACAAACTCCCAATCTTTTGAGCAATCTGGACAAATTTTGCATAGTTACACTCTACAATCCTCCAAAACATATATGCTACTTTAAAACTAGGACCCTCTTTCCTTCCTCTAATTTCATCCCCAAATTGCCAAACCCTTTGACTGATTTGGACCAAATTATGCAAAATTAGAGTCTGCCATCCTGTGAGAAACACACACTACCCTATAACAAGGACAACTCAACCCCCTCCCTGAGTTCCTGGGCAACACTGGGCATTTTTGCTAATATTTATAAATGACTAAAAATTGATAAATAAGAATACAAATAAAACATTACTTTGTTGCAACAAATGTATGAGAGTTCCTTCTTTAGAATCTATAAACTAATAATATAACATAGTAGTCTCTGTAATCTGACACTTATTTGACCAGCAGGTATTAGATTACAATAGATTGTCAGATTAATGGATTTTGTGTGTATATACCAGTACAGTATAGTAAAAACACACTTGGTTCACAGGTTATCATATTAATCACAATGATGATTGTTTTGCCAATCACACATACCGTACAATAAACAATTAGTGACTGACAATATATGCACACATCAGCCACTCTCTGTCCTTGATTAATTGTCACAATGATGAACCTTTAAATCATTTGATTTCCATTATATTTCTTTTAAAATTAATCCTGAAATATGTTTTAAATTGGAATATAAAGGCTGGACTGCAATACAATAGAATCTACAATGGTAAGTGGCAAAGTTATGACATAATAGTTAGCATGATGTCAGGTTGTAATGGAAAGAGCATTTATGAGTTGAGCAAAGTTCAACTTCTACTGTGACAGCAAGCATAAAAATTAAGTAATGACCAATGTAAGTGTCATTTACATTGACATCATTCAACATCAACTTCAATGCCTATCCAACTTTTCCAACATGCACTACATTGATATATTGTTCAGTGGCATGCTGAGGTAATGAGAAAGACTACAGCTTCTGCATTACCTTCATAAATGAGAACCAATCTTAATAAATCATTTTTAATTTTTCAAATCAGCATTTCAAAATAGATTCAAATACATCTAAATATAATACAGTAGAGTCTTGAAAACTCGGCACTCGATAACCCGGCAGTCCGGATAACTCAGCCACACCCTGGCAGGGCAAAAAAATCCTTAGTTAATTAATTTTCATTATAGACAGCTTTATGCCTCAAAGTATTTTTCTGAGGTCTGTCTTATCAGGTAAATTACTGTACACAGTGTATTCAATTTTCATTTTCATGTAGTAAAGGCTCTATGCCTTCATAAAGGACATACTTTTCCTTTGTTTAAGGGTATTTGGTCAGTTTATTCTCTGTTGTATTCTCAAGTAAACAATATATACAAGCACAGTATAGTATTTTCTGAGGAAACACTTATACTTATTTTTTTTTAACCCCATTCCCGATAACCCGACATTTTCACAAACTCGGTCACCCTTCGGTCCACATTACGCCGAGTTTTCGAGACTCTACTGTAATAATAATAATATCAAAAAACATTATTAATCTAAATATAATAATAACCTCATTGTTGTCATCTCCAATTTCTCTGAAATCATGATCCAGAGTTACAATGAGAACTTGGAGGGCAACTTCAACAAGTGGTTCTCTTGAATCTGTAAACAGGAGATGATTGAAAGGCAGCCCATAACCAACAGGATCATAAGCAGCTACAATATTTAACAAAGATGTGAACAGAGGAAGTGCATGTCTACAGAAAAAAAAAACATGATTAAAAATCTACAAAAACAGTAATAAAATTTATTATATTTAAAAATCAGACTTTTAAATAACCTGTTATCTGCCGACGTAAAATATTTAATCCATTTATTTGGCTGTTGATGAGCTTCTATAATTAAACAAAAATTTTGTTAATCATATTTTGTAGAAAATAATATTTATTATACAATTAAATTATGAATTCTATAAAACTGACAAAGACATAAATGTAACAAAATTTTATAAATTATTTCTGATTAGATAGAATATGAATTATAAAATATTTTCTATGAAATAGTTTTTATATATTAAAATATCATTTAGTAATTATATTAGTAATTTGATTTTTTTGTTTTTTTGGAAATTATTGAAAATTAGTTAATAAATGTGATGTAGAAATGAAAATTTAACATTCCTGAATTAAGTTATTTGTATTGAAGTTTCTTTTGAAATTTAGGAAAACCATAAGAATACAGTGGTACCTCAGGATACGAAATTAATCCGTTCCGAAACTGAGATCGTATCATGAAAATGTCGTAAGGTGGATCATCTTTTCCCATACGATTACATGTAAAACCAAATAATTCGTTCCAACGCGAAAAACATACTCAAATTAAAGCCAAGTAATACATTAAAAAAAATAACTGTAGTAAGAAAAACAAATGAAAAATGCGAACTAATGTAACGTCGTATGGTGAGTTTTTGTTCGTATCGTGGAGCAAAAATATGTTCGAATTTCATGTCGTATCCTGAAAATTTCGTATGCTGGGGCGTTCGTAACCTGAGGTACCACTGTATGTTAAGTTTTAAAAGTGATTAAACTCAGTGAATATGTTAAGTTTTAATAAAGTAACTTATGGATTTAAACAAATTTTTATTTAATAAATCAAAAACCTTTTTGCTTTATTAATATTAGAATGATTTAATGAATATAAGGAAATTAAAGAAAATCTGTTTCTGCTTAATATTAGAGGTACTGTACTGTACATGTAAAAAACTATCAAAAAATTTGTTGGGAAAAACTATAAAACTCTAATAATTCTTACTGTTTATTGAAATGTAACAAACTATCATGACATTTTGAGTTAAGTAATTTTTCATTTTTCTTTGCATTTACATTTGGTTGAATTGTACACTTTTCTTTACATGAGCACTTTTGATACTCTTTGCCTTCTGAAACTGGTGTTTTTCTGCACACTCCCTAATAGAAAAAGTAATATTTAGTACTTTCTCTACTGTAAGAAATTGTTTGTCACCTAACACAAACTGGTTTCTCGTATACAACTGTGAAAGATGTAATTTGCTACTAGAGGTAGACATTAAGCATCATCTCTTAACTAAATTAATAATAATTATAATTAATTTAGTTAAGACCCTGATTATAGGCAGATTATTTAAGGCAATTGTTTGTTTATGTATTTATATTTACTACCAGCAACTGAGTATGCATAATCACTGAATTAATCACCTTTATTGAATGTGAAAAAATGTACTTGAAGCATAAATGCAATATGTTGTCTCTCACTCTTGCATTATGCTTGTATGTTTTCAGTACTTTTTTCACTTTCTTTTTGGTGTGTTTGGTTATATATACTGTATAGTGTTTTTCTTTGTTGACAGCTTTTGGGTGACCCATATGTTTTGTATCCTTTAATTCAAAATTTTCCAAACAGACTTTTTTAAACCATATTTGACTTGTTTGAAGTTTTGGAGGCTCTTCCCTCATACACATTACAACTGTTTTTACTGCTTTTACAGCTTTATATTGTATTCAAAAGTCATAAAACATAATATGCCTGATATGATTTTATCCAAACGCATTACAACTTGATTTTATTCAAACAAAATCTGAAGTAGAGTTTAAAGTAAGATTCTAAACAAGGGATAAAATCTCAAGTTATCTACAATATGTTAAATTTCACAACTGTTACAATAAAATCATATATCTAATGTTTAGATGCAGAAGTCCACAGTGTACAACCAATAAATGAAATTTTCATTTTATTATTAAGGCATTTAATTGTGTTATTTTTTTATTATCTTAAATTATGTGTATTTACTGTTTGAAGTTTATTGAAATGGTTATTGTTCAGATCCTAGGAATGGATTAATTCACTTTCCATTATGAAGAAGTGATTCATACTTCAAACAATTTGGAGTTCAAATAACCTTCTTGAATGAATTAAATTCAAAGTATAAGACACCACTGTATTCTTTTAATAATTTATAAAACTTCAAAGAAGAAATTCAAATACACCTTTTGAATAAAATTTACAATAGTACAGAAAAACTGCCAGGTTGAAAAAAATCATTGCCAAATTGCCAACTAGCTTGAAATATCACTAAATCTAACAATAAATCACCAGTCCTGGCAACAATGTTCACATATTGCCTATCCATTGCTATGCAGCATCCTTATCAAGTTGGTGCTCTCCAAAAGTGATGATAACCATACATCATGTGGCCATCAGGGGCAAATCACATGTAAAAAATATGCTCTGTCTACCATGGATTAGTTTCACAGTACAATATGTCCACTGCCATGTTTGAATGTCTGCTGTGGCAAAATGATGTAAAACAGTGCTAATCAAACTATAGTCTGTGGATAAATGTTGGTCTGCACACAGTTTATTACTGAGTCACGTGTTCTCATTTAAAATTTCATAATTTTATCTATTATATTAATAAAAGAATTTAAAATTGACATTAAGCCAAATTTTTAAAATTTTATTTTCTTATTAATTCAATCTAAAATGAAAAAAATGCACTTGAACTCATTCTCTTTGTTGGACTGCAATTTGAAAAAAATTGTAGACCTATAAATTCCCACTGTTGTCTGCTGCCTGTCCTTTCTTAATCTTAAGAACAGTGTTAGATAAAGTTGAGACCAGATATAGAAAGCTTGGGGGCAGGAGGCCCTAATTGAAATAATGTGACTTCCAGTTTGCACTGGAAATCACATTATNGTTGTTCATGCTTGGTCTGCATTTTAATCTTCTTGAAAATTTTTTTAGTTGCTTCATTAATTAAGTCACTGTTTTGTTATTAGCATATTGTGTCAGCTTGCCTAGTTGCAGTCCAATATTGTCTATTCATACTTCTACTATTTGCCAGGCAGGCTTATGAAAGGATTTTGATTTGTGTGTGTCTGTCTGTGGGTGTAGTTTTAGTTCATGGTAGGTCATTACAGTTGACTGTACCTGTAGACCTATAAATTCCCACTGTTGTCTGCTGCCTGTCCTTTCTTAATCTTAAGAACAGTGTTAGATAAAGTTGAGACCAGATATAGAAAGCTTGGGGGCAGGAGGCCCTAATTGAAATAATGTGACTTCCAGTTTGCACTGGAAATCACATTATTTCAATTAAAAAGTTTTCCCCTGAACCGAGTTAAATAGATGACCAGCACGACTCTATTGATAACAGGAAAAATATGATGTACAGGGACAAGACACTACTAAAAATATTGAAACACTAACAAAAAATTGCAGCCTGGTATTGTGACAATGCCACAATAAATAATTGCTCATTTTACAATTAATTTCATTTAATGTCACAAAAATACTGCCCCACAAGGGACTGGAATAAAAAAAACTGGTCCATGAACACAAAGTTTCAGAAGCTTTGGCAGAGGAAGCAAAAAAAGAAAAAAACCAGAGCATTGATTTGTAAAACAAACCAATTCCAATATATTGAGAACATTCCGATATACTGATATACATTAAGCTAGGAATACCTGTATATTTGATTTGTTTCTATGTGAGTGTTATGGAGATTAAGATGTAATGTTGTTCTCAAGTGGAGCATGGTAAAACCAAGAAAACTAAATGAGGTCATTTTAACATAGAATAAATAGGGATAGGGGAACATGTGACCAAAAATAAAAAAAAATTTTACTTTAATTTTAAGTTATTTTTAAATTAATTTGTATAATAATATATGTTAATAACAAAAACATATGCACACAGAAATGTATAATAATATATTAGTTAGTTCATTTTTTCTATATTAATAGTTCATTTTTTATGACGAAAGTCCTGACTTTTCTGAAATTCTTGTTTTTTTTTTTTTTGCAATAAAGTCATGAAGTTTCATTTGTCGCTTTTTTCTTTCCTTAAGCAAATGTCAGTAGCAGATTGCATCCAAACACCTCATTCTGTTTTTGCACTCCTTTCAAAATCTAGATCATTTGCTACCATTTGATCAACAATTTTGGTTATCATTACCAAACTTTTACTAAGGAAATCTGTAGAGAAATTTTTTTGGGTTCTTCATTTTCAGCATCACTATTTTCCAGTTCTACATGGATTCCTTGTTCTGCAAGTTCTTGAAGGTGGTTGTTGATAAGACTCTCACCAGAAACCTGCAGTAACTCCTAAATATCCTGTTCATCTACATCTCCTAGTGCTGCTGTATTGATTAGGTTGAGTTTGATCAACCTAACGATACAGCGATAGGCTCTTCTCATTGAAAATTCTTGGATACCTTCAGCCATAACTTCAACACTTCATTCGTGAATTTATCAGTTAATTCTTGCCAAGCGAAGTCGATATTGCCTATGGCATCCATGATGTTATATTTTTTCCAAAATTGCACCAAACAAACATAGATTTAAAACAAGTACACCTTTTTGCCACCTTTTGCTGATTGGTTCATGTTTGTAAATAATTGTATTATGTACAAATCAATAAAATGCCGTGATAATTTAAATCAGTGTAAATTTTGAGCTATTTTAAGGCTTTGAGCAATGGTTTTATATCGAATCAATATTAAGCAGGGTCTTACTGTATTTTGTTTGCAATGCAAGAGGTAAAAATCTTGTAAAGTGTTGAAAGACATGTAATTGGTCTACTATACAGGGTCTTTGTTGTTGTTATCTTTTGATTTTATGTAGGTGATGCCCTGCATGAGAAAATTTGGCATGTCTTGTGGACTGTTGATGATATGAGTTAAATGTTTAGCTAGTTCCTAGTGCAAGGATGTGAATTTTTTGTATCAAAAATTGTGAATGTTGTCTACACCAGGTGTCATCCAGTTATATGCTTTCTGCATTGTGCAATGGATGTCTTATGTATTTATTTCAACACAATGCATACTAGGTATACCCTGCATGTCTTTACTCTCCTCTTTGATCCAGTCTGCTTCAGCATTGTGCATGACAGCAGTAGACAAAAGAGAAGACTAATAATTTGTGAATTCTTCAGTTGGCATGCCAATGTGTTGGGAATCAGTAGTGGATTTGGTGTTAATTTGCCTGTAGAAGAGTTTTTCATTGTTTGTGAATAATTTATTTTGCTCTTTCCATACAGAACAAATTTTGTACTGAGTTACTTTGCTTTAGCTGCAGGTTTTTGTTTCAGTGTGCCAATGTATTCTGCAATGCAGACATTATGTTGTTCATGCTTGGTCTGCATTTTAATCTTCTTGAAAATTTTTTTAGTTGCTTCATTAATTAAGTCACTGTTTTGTTATTAGCATATTGTGTCAGCCTGCCTAGTTGCAGTCCAATATTGTCTATTCATATTTCTACTATTTGCCATGCAGGCTTATGAAAGGATTTTGATTTGTGTGTCTGTCTGTGGGTGTAGTTTTAGTTCATGGTAGGTCACTACAGTTGACTGTACCAGCATATATTAGTGTGTGGATGTCTGAGAGTGTAGAAATAGAATGAGTGCAATCTGGTAATATGTAAGTGTTACATAATGTACAGTTTTCCCTAGTTTAGTTTAGAAGTGTTAATTTTGGGAATGCAAGTGCCTGTAAATTTTGTGAGTGTTTCCTGGAACAGAGAGAGAGTATAAATTAAACCTGAATCTATTTCAGGCAGTGATAAAGCATTGATATTGTCAGCATCAGTAAAAATAGTGGTGGTAGGAACAGTATTGTCAATGCTTGTATCTTAATGATACTGATGGATTATGTGATCATTGTTGATGTTGGGAGTATTTGTTCATTGATGTAATTGTTCTGCAATTTGTTGTTTGATATGTTCTAGTGTTGTTTGTGGAATAAGGTTGTTATGTACAGGTATACCTCGACTTACGTCGTTCTCGATTATACGTCGTTTGTCATTCAAAAAATATATGGAAAAATAAAAATCAAGTTTAAGTCATTTTATTCGACTTTACATCTGTCCACCACAAATATTGAAGTCATTATATCAATAGAAAAGCGTTAAAGCACATAAAATCATATTAAAATATGTGCATTTACATTAAATGTTAATATAATCATCATAAATCCTAGAGAACAAAACATGAAAACATCTGTGTTTCTGTGTTGTTATTTAGCAGTCTTTAAGTGCTCAAAATTGGTGTTTTCCACGGTAGCTCCAATATCTACCATTTGGCATCATTGTCAATGCCACTCCATATTGGTAAATTTAATATAAATTAGTTTATTTTCTACTCTCACAAGATAATTTTAATAACTGTATTTGTTATTTAACCTTACAAAATCATCTTATTTTATAATGTCTTACAGCAAACCACATTCACAAATAAAGCAATGTACTGTAAACATGTACATTTACAAGTATATACTATATGTACAGTTCATGAATTCGTAAATTTAGATTAGTTTTTAATATAGTACAGAAAAAAGTAAAATTTATTTGTTTGTAAGCTTAAAATAGATTCTTATTAACCATATATTATTAAAAATGCATTTATAAATAAAATACAGAATTGGGAATGGTTATTTGTGGTTTAGCCTAGTGACAAGTAAATTCGGAGACAAGTAAATTCGACTTACGTCGNCCATATATTATTAAAAATGCATTTATAAATAAAATACAGAATTGGGAATGGTTATTTGTGGTTTAGCCTAGTGACAAGTAAATTCGGAGACAAGTAAATTCGACTTACGTCGTTTTTTGACTTAAGTCGCCTCTTCTGGAACCAATTACTGACGTAAGGCGAGGTATACCTGTATAATTGTTATTTTTTGATCAACTATCCTGTGTACAGTGACTGTGAAATGAGGATAATGTGAAAACAAATGATGTAACTGTTGTCTGTATGCTGTGATGTCTATTTCAAGTTTTGTGATAGTGTAATAATTATGGGAAAATATAATAATAATATGGCTGATAAACTCATTCATTTCTGATTTCCACTTCATCCACTGGTGTGGTTTACCTGCCTTAGTTGCCTGCAGCTGGATTGTCTCAGAAATATCAAAATTAGCCTGATTTCCCAAAACTGGTGGTCATTGCAGTAGCCATACTTTGGAGCCATTTTGCATTTGTTATGATCACCAGTGCTGCTTTCACAACTGGTCGCCAAGGGAGACTGACATATTTTTCAAATGTGAGCCACAGTTTAACTCATGAGTGCAGACCTTGTTAATCCAGGTGACATCCAAGCCAGTATTTTACTTGGATCATGTTATCACTATGGTTAGATCTCCACAGATATAGGTTCAGTCACTCTTGGCTTCATTTCTCCCCACAGATCTCACTGGCATGGATGACCCCACTAGGAACAGATGTTACAGCCAGTATAGCTCTGTCGTTCATCAGAATTACTGAGCTCTCTCACCACAGCAAGGTGATGATTGGTGAGAATTATTATTATTATTATTATTATTTTCTACTAATAAAATAACACAGTAACAAGATCACATGCTAGAGTTAGAATTCATATAAATCGAGGCTTAGAATTATATAATGTACTAGAGTAAGATATTGACTGATCCAAGAAGAGCAGCTTTTTGTATTTGGCAGGTGGTGATTTTGCCAATATTGAGTGTTTTTAAATGCTGCTGGAAATTTTTTGGTGTAGCACTATGGTGATCAGCATGTTTAGTGTGCTGATCACCATAGGTACTATATTGGCTGGTTTGTGCAAGATTCGTTGAATTTCAATTGTCAAATCCTGATATTTTGTGATTTTTTTTCTTGTTCCTTCTCTTCAATTCTGCTGTCACCTGGTATGACTGTCAATTATCCATACTTGTTTCTCTTCAGTGATGCCCAGGTATGTTGTGTGATACCTTGTCTGTCTGAATCCAAAAATCCAACAATATTTCAATGTGGTCATTTCAGTGACTTTTTTAAATTCACATTTCCACCAGTTCCTAGAAGCAGGCAGATTGTAATTCTTGCATAAGATCCAGTGAATCATTTTTGCCACTGAATTATGTCAAATTTTATACTCGATTTGAGCAATCTTTTTACAGCAGCTGAGAACATGGTCTACAGTTTCATCAGCTTGTTTGCACAGTCTGCATTTTGCATCATCTGATAACTTTCAATTCTGGCTTTGATTATGTTTGTTTGGATAGCTTGATCTTGAGCAGCTAAAATAACGTCTTTGATTTTTTTTTAAATGTTCCAGATGCTAATCATTGCCACATTTTGTTGTTATCAACTTTGTCTTTGATCCTCTCAGAAAACTGGCCATGCAATAGTTTATTTTGTCAGATTTCTTTGAGAATGTTCTTTCTATATTCTCAAAGACTTCATAGTTTTGACTTTGAGCAGATTTTTATTTTTTTACTTCAATCAGGGCTTGTTTTTGACTATCCCTGATGTAATATGCTAGTGCATTATTATTATTGTTATTATTATTATTACAGTCGACCCCCTATAACACTGTTGATTATTCCATTTTATACGAATTCCATGTTGTACGAGTCACTTAGATTTTACAAATACATGAGCCGTTTACAGCCCGGCACACGTATTTGTAAAATCTAAGTGACTAAGTGTATTATAGAGAATATTTTATTAATATTTATAATTTTGCATTCATTATGATAAAATTTATTTACAGGTTGATCAAAAAGCCACTGTGTACCTACACTGTATCATTACTTATGTAAGATTTCACACATTATTTGATGGATCTTGCAATTCTCATTAATAACACAGTTCTTGTCATGATGGTACAGTGATATGATATTCATAAAATTATTTAAATTTAAAAATTCTTGTGATAATTTTTATATGATTTAACTGTTTTAATCTTAATTATTGGAAGAATATAAGTTATGACAAATATTGTTAATTATTGCTAGTTAAAATTATAATGCAATCTCTTACCATTAGAAGGTAAATATATAGTTTGGCTGAAGCATGTCAATAACAATTTTAAAATCTCTGTTCGATTATAATCGTGTTGAGGTACATGTGATGGAGAATGAGCAAAGCCAACTCCAGCTTCCCAGATGTATTCACAACTGTCAATTGATTGAAGATCCTCAGGATTATCCTAAAATCAGTAATATTTTAAAAAATCTTGAATATTGTCTTATAAGTTTCAATTAACTAAACTAGTTATTATTTAATTAATGCAACATTTATTGTAATTGTAATTTATAGATCTTATAATAATTAAATTAAATATAATTAAAATTATAACATTAAATATCTAAAATTTATAACTAACTACAGCTAAAAATGAAGTTACATGGATGGCAGTTGGAGGCATTGCATTATAAAGAAAATTACTAAAATTCAATATATTTGGCCTTGATTAATGACTTCTCATTTGTAGACATTGAAGAACTGTGTAAAATTCTTTATTAACAGTGATTTTCTGAAACAAATTTGTGATGAATGAGTCCTTTAGAACTAAAAGAAAAGCAAATCTACATCTATTTGATTTTTGATTTTACCATTTGTAGTTTATTTTTCTTGGTAAATTTGGGTTAACTCATTCTCACTTTTTCTCTTTGTTTATGGATTATATTGTAAACACCATGCTTCCTCATCTGTTACAATTTTGTTAAAGACTCATTTTTTGAAATTTGCAATACATCTTGGCAAACTGACTGACTGTTTTGATCAAATGTATGGACTTGAGGGACAAACATGCACAGAGCTTTCTTCTTTGTAATTCCTTTGTAAAATTATCTAACTTTCTCTAAATATTTCCTGTCAATTCTACCAAAAGATAAAGAGTTAGATATCTTTGATTCTCAAACACAAGACCATGCTACTATTTAAACACTTAGTAGCACGGTCTTGTGTTTGAGAATCATAGAAAATTATAAAACATGGTTTCGGAAAATTGAGTTAGATATCTATTATTTTTAAGGAACTGTTCAACTTTACACACATTTTCAGTTATTCAAGAAATTAAGTCTTGCTTTAAGATCAGATAACCAGCCAAAAATCAATTTTTGAGGAAAAATTTTTCAAGCTTATATTCTAATCCTTTAAGTCATAGAAGTGAAATAATTTTTTAAAAATTTGGTCTGATTTTTTTTGGGTTCTGCCTTTTATGATGATTGATTAATAAATAAGATATCCATCTTTATAAAATTAGTTTGGAAAGAGAGTGAATAATGTAACCAGTTGTAGAAAATAATAAAAGCCATTTACAGTATTTTTATCACACATATTCATTTTTTCAACTTAATAATCATCATTAAAAGTAGCACATTTTTCCAAATGTTCAATTCATTTCTGTATTGTATACATGAAGAAAGTTTCTGGACTCTAGAGTTTCTGATCCATTCCTTGGAACAATATGAAAACAAATGTAATGCATTTTCAAGTCACTGTGAAGAATGGCATATATAAAATTCTAACTTGAATTTTGGTATCTGATTAAAGGTGTTTAAAGATCAATACTTTTCATTTTGAGAACAACCAGAAAAATAATGATCTGGCTGTAAGGAAGATGTAAAAAACCTGAAACTTTAGGTTTCAAAGTGTCTTCTTTGTTTATTTACTGTAGTGACATCTTGTATTATCAAGATGAAAAAAAGATTGTTTTTCTGGCTTTACTCTGTAAATATGTTTCTTGAGTGTTCATAAGATTTTACAATACTGCACAAAATTAGTTGCCTCTCTCTTTGTATACAACCTTCCAATGTAAATTCAATCATCAACTGCTACTTAATACAGAATGAGGAAGACAAGTTTATGTTTAAATCTAATTTTTGTGCAATGATACAATACAATGAATTAATATATCACAGATAGTAGTCATATATATCCAGTCTTTAAGTTGTAGTAGCCATGTGTTTCTATCCCTGCACTTTATGGTATGCTTTGGTAGCAGATCTTATTTATCAATCAACCTTCATATATGTATATAACAACATAAAATTAAAAACAAATACATAATAAATTATGGAAATTTTAAAACATTCTTATTAGATATATAATAGTACAGTAATACCCCGACTTACGCGAATCCAGAGTTACGCAATTTTCAAATCTCGTCAATTCGTCTTTTGTTTGAGCGCCACACAACTCTTAATTACTCATTTTCCCCCACACTATTGTTCGGCTTACATGTTCGGACGTGTTCGACATATAGCTACAATTTATTTTGTGTTATTTGTATGTATTTATATGCAAAATTATACCCCGACTTATGCGAATTCGACTTACGCGGTTATTGCTCGGTCCCACCTATTGCGTAAGTTCGGGGTATTACTGTACTTTTCACATTTAATAACATTCCATAAGATTTTAAAAATATTGCTATTTTTATAAATTTTTAAATAAATTGAAACATACCGGTCCAGATCTCTTTGAAACAGAAACAGTGAAGTCAGGACAAAATAATAAATCCTAAAACAAAAAAGCATAAATAAATAAANATAAAAAAATCATAATTTTTAATTGTATTTCTTCTACAATTTAAACAACAAATTGTATATATATTTTATAAAAAGATATTCTTTTAATATTACTGTATTATATATTTTGCTAAATATTAATAAATTTGGTCAATCCATCTTTCTTTTCAATTAATACATGGATTTCAAATTAAATTAAAATAAATAATTTTAACACAACACATTTAAAAATTTTTTAAGCTGTATAATACATCAAAAAGAACATACTACTTAGTAAATAAAAATAATTTAGGTTTTGTAAGTAACAAAATAATAAATTCTTGTATAATTCTATATTAAAAATTGCTTTTTTTTACTGTTGTATTGTGAAGCATCTCATTTTCAAAATTTTAATAAAATTAACAGTCAAATCTACTTCATAAAAAGTTATATTCTTGCTTCCATTAAAATAGATCATATTGTATAGTTGCATTTCAGACCTATCTTGATCACTATTATATAAAATATTTTAAAACTAATTTCAAAATTTAGTATTCTTGTCATGAAAATTATTGACTACAGATGTAACAAAATATGTAAAATGATAACATGCTATACAAGTTGAAATCAGATATTCTTTTATGTTAAATAATAATAATAATAATTATTATTATTATTATTATTATTAAACCTAAATTATACTACTAAAACTATGGTGTTTTTTTTTTATTAAAGCTCATTTTCAGGAAACCTAAAAATGATTTACTTAAGAATGCTTTTGGCCATTTATATGACCATTGCCAACCAAACATAAATACAGAATAATGCAGAATATAAATTTGAATTTAAAATTGGATTTGTTAAACTTGAATAGAACATGAAATAAGTCAATAATACAGAAAATTAATAATTAAACAAAAAATGTCTAAAAGTATTTCTATTAAATTATATTTTAGTTGCTTGAAAATTGCAATTTGAAATCTTTGTAATTCATATCATGCTGCCAAGCTTCACACATTTTCATGACATTATCAGTGCATGCTAGTCTCAAAGTGATTAAAATAAGTGGATCTTACTGTATGTGATATTTCTGTATACAAATGAGATATTTTATTACATATATATATATATATATGTATTGTTACTATTTTACTTACACAAAGTGCTGTGATTAATGATTGTGCTAATGGCAAACTTTCAATCTGAAATTAAAAAATAATTTATTAATATAATGATAAAATGCAATTAAACAATAAAATACAATACTTAGATGATTAAAAATCTAACCTCACTATCAGTTTCATCATTTCCTTGACTAGGAAGACTTGACCAGAAAAATCCTCTCCAATCAGGTTCTTCAAATATATATGGGAGAATTCGTGTCAAGAGATGTACACAATTTAAAACTGGAAAAAAATATCCAATAAATTCTTAATTTGTATAAACATCCCAAAGCCCAATATTTTAGTAATATACCAAACAACTTGCCATATTAAATTGGGCTACTTTACCATTATTATAGCTGTAAAGTAGCCCAATTTGATCTGGCAGTTATTTGGTATATTCATAATTTGTTTTGTAAACACTAGAAGTGTGAAAATATCACCAAATAATTCAAAAAGATGTTTTATTATAGAAATATAACAGTTTTAAATCCAATTATTAACATATTATTTGCCACAAACAATTTTATTTAATTATATTATTAAAACTACTTAGTAAATAAAGTTACCTATTTGCTGTTGTGTTGGTGTATTGCACAAGGTGTCAGCAGCTTTTACAAGTTTCTCTACTGCTTTGTAACAGAGTGTGGCTAAATTAGAAGGTGATTCTTCTCTTAATGCTCTGATTTCAGCTGCAGGAATGAGAGTGAATACATCTTGGACACTCTGAATGCTCTCGGACCAAAACTGATCCCAAAACACATCATCTTTAGCATCAATAGGCTGAAAAATTTGACAAGACCATATTCAAAAATGAAATTATTTAATATATTTAATAATATATAATTTATTAATTACACAGCAAAAATTATTTTAAAAATAAATAAAAATGCTTCCCTACTATGGTAAAGTATTCTTATTATGTTCCTACGATATAAAACCAAACAATCTGCTAAATTATCAGGTTTTTTTCATGGTACATTAATAATTACTTACCAACTAATTTGACTAGGAATAGTTCCTACAATATATTTAATTAACCTAAATTAAATTTGAATTTAAAACAAATTCTGTTTGTAACAATCTTCAATTCCACACAAAAATATTTAATAACTTTTAATTAAAATTTATTACGTTTAAATATAAGTTATCAGAAAACTGAGAAATTCTACTGTAGTAAAGAGCACTCAAATTTAAACAGGCCTCTAGAATATATAATATGTTATATGGAGAGGCAAAACAGTTTTCATGGTTACTGGCATGCTTGTGCAAAGAGACAAAGCTATTGGCAATAAGTATATGGGAAAGTTTGTGTGTATTGATAAGTTCTTTAAACTAAAAGATGATAAAGTTCAGATTAATGGAAAAGAAAAACAATTATTTTTAAGAAAACTGCCATGTTACTGAGGATATCACCTGGAAAACATTTGAATCTTGTTCAACTGGAAGTACCATTAAAGGTAGAGATAATAGGAAGAATTTGAATCATAAACTGTTTATAGAAGAAATAAGAGATATGTTACTTAAAACAAAAGAAACAATAGAATCAAAAATAGAGTTGGAATTACCTATGGTAAAAATGTGTTTCATGGAAATGAAAAGATTAATATGTCGGCTGAAAAAATTCACAAATTAGTTACAGAGCATAAATGCAGGCATGAGTTTAATGGTGTACAGTTTATTACTGGTTTAACTAAAAGAGTTAATATACTCAAAAATAATTTTAAAAAGAAAAACTTAGAATTACTTAATATAGAGGTGAACAAATGGGAAAATTTATTAGCAATAATTTCAGAGTTGGTCAGAGAAGTGTATGGTTTATCAAATGTAATTCTTGACTGCATTAAGCTTATGAATGAAAGCAATGGTTTTGATCACCTGTGTTCATTTGATGTAAAAAAAGATATAATAAAAAGATAGAAGAATATTAATAGTATTTTTGATACATCTGATTGGAGACAGACTGTGCATATAAAAGATCTTTCCTTAAAGTGTAGGAGAATAGAAACAAATGAATAATTTAAGACAGATTAGAAAACAGAAAAATATTACATACTTCAAAAGTGATAAATTGGTGATAAGTGCTCATAAAAATGCTCATAAAGATGGTAAGGATATAGAGGAGGATGTTTGTACCACAAATGATTCTTTTTAGGAGTAAATATGATCCATTGAACAAGCAAGATACCCTAAAAGTCCTTAGTTGGAATATGAGCTATTAGAAGAAGGAATTATAAGAAAGTTTCACATGTCATGTTGGATGGAAAAAGATATTAGGAAGCCACCATTAGTTGTCAGTAACATATATGATATTTATAAGATTAGTACTATCAGTATATTTGTGAAAGGATGTAAAAAAAAAAATAGAATAATATTGATAATAGATAAAGAACTGAAAGGAACTGTGGTTCGTCCTTTTGAGGATTAGTTATTTGAAATAAGTTGGAAAAACTAAAAATTTGTTTGCTTATATTAAGTTAGAAGTCTATGTTAAGTTTTCCAAGTTATTGAAAGCATTGCTTGACAGTTATCAGGAAGAGAAAATGTATTTAATAGGAAATTTCAATGAAAGAATAGGAACTTTGAACGAGACTGATTGGGGAGATGGTTTTAATCTCCTGCTGGATTATAATATTTATTGATGTTCTGAAGATAAATGTATTAATAAAATTGGATTGAAGTTAATAAAATTATGTCAACTGAAAGATATGATGATTGTAAACAGGACAATCAAGGAGGATGTGTAGGAAAAATATACTTTTACTTCACTCTTGGGTAAAAGTGTAATTGATTACAAGTGTGTAAATGGTTAAGTGACAGAGACTTTAAAGTATTTTAATGTAATTGACTGTACTGAATCAGATCATATGATGATATACTTAGAAACCTCTGTTAAAGGTTTAAAAAACGTTTATTGTAGACAATCAGATAGGATTCATAAATGATGGAAGAAAGATTGGTTACAGTTTTTTGTAGGTAAAATGCAAGATATAAACTGGGATAGTCAGTTTGATTGTACGATAACTGAGCTAGAAGTGTTAACAGAAGTGGTGGTGATTATAATAGTAAAGTTAAGAGATTGAGAAAGAAATTAGGCTCATTCAGACATGGGCCAGAATGGTTTGATAATTTATGTTCAGAAAAAGATTGATATGAAAAACAAACTGATGAAATGGAGGAGACTAGGCCAGGAGTGAAAATTAAAAGAATATCTGCTGTCAAAGAAAAATTTCAGGAGTCTCTGTAAAAACAAAAAAGAAAAATATCTGATTAATTTTAATTAATTACTTACTGTAAGTCAACCCAAACTTTTTGGGATTGTATTCATAAATTGGAAAGTAATAATAAATGCTGTTTTGGGAATAAGATCAAACTAGAGTTGATTATGCATTACAAAAGTCTATTGTTTAGTAATAATTTAGATAAAGAAATCATTTGTTATGAGATGATAAATGTAAGTTATTTGCATAAGGAAATATCATACAAAGGATTAGAAATAGTTTTGAGAGGGGTAAAGCAGCTGGCCTAAACGATATTCCTACAATGTTGGAAGTTGGCAGATGAGCATTTGTTAAAGAAACTATTAAGTAATTTTAATACAATATTGAAAATTGGAGTATATCCAGAAAGCTGGAAAATAGCTTGAATAATTTCAATTTTTAAATCAGAAGACATAAATAACCCAAGTAATTATAGAGGTACAGTAGAGCCTTGAAAACTCGGCACTCGATAACCCGGCACTCCGGATAACTCAGCCACACCCTGGCAGGGCAAAAAAATCCTTGTTAATTAATTTTCATGATAAAGACAGCTTTATGCCTCAAAGTATTTTTCTGAGGTCTGTCTTATCAAGTAAATTACTTTACAGTGTATTCATTAATTTTCATTTTCATGTAGTAAAGGCTCTATGCCTTCATAAAAGACATACTTTTCCTTTGTTTAAGGATATTTGGGCAGTTTATTCTTTGTTGTATTCTCAAGAAAACAATACATACAAGTATAGTACAGTATTTTCTGAGGACTCCACACTCGTACTTATTTTTTTAATGCCATTCCCGATAACCCAGCATTTTCACAAACTCGGCCACCCTTCGGTCCACATTAGGCCGAGTTTTCAAGGCTCTACTGTATAACTTTATTGAATATTGTTAGTAAGGATTTTTTTCAATGGTTCTCTGTAGGAGGTCTATATTATGGGCTGAGAGAGAGAAAATTTTATCTGACATGCAAGCTTGCTTTCATAAAGGGCATACTAAAATGGATCATATATTTGTCTTGTGAAATTTGTAAAAAAAAAAAGCTCGCAAAAAACAAAAGAAAGTATACACTTGCTTTCTGGACTATAGAACTGCATTTGACTTGGTGAACCATATGAAATTATGGAATAGGCTGTGTGAATTGAAGATAAGCTATAAAATAGTAAACTTGCTAGAACAATATATATGGATATGACTGCATTGATAGTTATTCCATTAAAGAGAATCAATGCTCTTTAATGGAATAACTATCAATGCAGTCAATAAAAACTTTTCATATGCAATAAAAACTTTGTAAACAACAATGCAGTGACAATGCAATAAAAACTTTTCATAGTTATTCCATTAAAGAGCATCAATGCTCTTTAATGGAATAACTATGAAAAGTTTTTATTGTAACAAAGGAGTTTGACAAGAGTATCCATTGAGCCCACTACTGTTTTCTTTATATATTGATGATTTGATAACAAGATTGGATGAAATTGAAAAATATAATGACTTATGGTTATGCAATAATACATATATTAAGGTTTTGATATATGTTGATGAGTGGCTGATAGTTTGCTAGAATTACAATTGGCCATTGATGGTTTGCTGAGACATTCCATAGAGATAGATTTGCAAATTAATATTAAAAAAAACCAAGATTATAGTCTTTCAAAATAAAAATAGACAATCAATTAAATGCAAATGGTTTTTGGATAAAGAAGACAATGAAGTAGTTAAAAAATATAAGTATTTGAGAGCATGGTTTAATTATAATTTTAATATGAAAGACCATTTTGAGATAACAGCTAGGAAAGCAAAAAGTGCTTTGGTGAAATTATGTAAATTATTTAATACATAATTAAATTCCCATGTGAAAATTTCCCCACAGTGTGGAAGTCTTTCTTCGAATTTTAAATCTTACTATCCTCCCCTTCCCTTTTCTCTCAACTTATGTCACCTTTCCTCTGCACACGTTTATGGCAATCCCCTATTGGTTCAGAATCTGAGATTAGTTAGCCTGATAATGCCTGTTCAACATGGACAAAAATGTTTGCACTTATTATAAAAATTGCTGGATTATAGGTTTAATATTTAATTAGATTATAGATTTGTCCAAGTACTTTTGAGTATACCACTTAGCAAGAACAGTTGTTACAAAGACTTAAGCTCTTCCCGTTAACAGAAAAAAAGTTACAATTTATTTGTTTAAACTTCAAAATATTTTTTAAAAACATTTTTAGTTGTAAATATGATTTATTGGACTATCCACAATACAATTGTCATCAAGTGTTAACAAGAAGGTATTTATAATTATTCAATTATTTTTAAATTTTGAGTTACTCTCTCCTTTGGATACTTCTGGATCCACAAGTGATAAAGAGTATAATAATAATTAAAATTGATTTTGAATTATTTTTTGGGGGGGAATATTGTCGCTACAGCCTTTTAACTTTTCAACTGTCAATTTTTTTAGCTTACTTTTTAAATGATTAGGTTGTTATACTTCAAACCTTCTAAATCATCATCACATTGTACTAT